ATATTTCATTCTTTTTCGTCTTTCATGACCAAGGAAAAATATTCTCATGAGGACGATCGTAAACCAACAGACTATTTGTTACTGATAGCGTGAACTTTATGTGAAAACATTTCTTATATTTTTGTTATGATCTATAACTGTGGAATTTCGAGTTCTGGCACGACTATATTGTATGAAAGAAAGCCTCAGTGTTTACATTCTTAAACCTGACTGATTGACTGATTCAAGGTGAACAACCTAAGGAACACTTCGAGTACATGACAATAATCAGGCATGCCTGCAAGCTTTTTCTATGCCATTCTCGTATCGCACTGCTATGCATTCATAAAGAAAATGCAGAGAAGAGAAATTTTCCTGTATCGAAGCATAATGAACAATTTAGGATGTCTAGAATGACAGAGGCATGCACTGATAACTGCAATGTGTTGCAAAGGTTTGAAGCATCCTCTAGAAAAACTATATTGGATTGGGTAATGAAAGTCAATGAAAATCGAATTTAAAAGCAACATAGTATAAGGCGTTCAACATACTCCATCCATCTAGCATTATGTCTGTCATTTAGTCGTTCATCTGGCGAGTCACTCATCCCAAATCCTGATGACTTGCAAAACTATCGCAGCTGCAGTCTTTCGATTTGGAGCAGGAGGGGGTCACAAGCGAGGTCATTCCTGTGTTCCGAATTTTATTTGCATTCATTATTTTAAAACCGTTCCAAAGATCTCATTTCTGACGCTCCTTCTCACCACGTTCCTGTGACTGCACCTTTAGGCCAATATCTTTCAGTACCCGTGACCATAAATGAGAACGGGTACGTAGAGAGGCAAAGTATTGTTTGGCTAATTTTTTATATTATAATATAAATCTTTAAAAGTTTGTCCGAGCATCTCTCTCTTGAAATCACATACTGAGACAGTAAAAGAGGATGAGACCTGCTATCTTAATGGCATTGTAGGCAAGAACATAGAAACTTGCGTTAATAGGGTTTCAATGCCTAACTGGCAGGCTGAAAGACAGTGATCAAATGGCGGTCAATTCACACCTTATTGCACCATGGTTTGGTCGCTTATAAACTATTATGTCACGTCGTAAATTTAATCTGCATACAAGAAAACGCTAAACGTACATATCAGGTGAGGGACAGATTCCGTGTAATTTCATCCAATGCCATTTACGGAGACGACTGCAATCCAGTTCGATCTCAGGGTTTTCGCTCTTTAATGTAAGTTGACTTTCTTGGTTGTCCGCATTTTCCACAGAAGCCAAACGTTCACTATTCACCGCGTCCTTTGTTTGTACTTCTGAAGAGAGAGTTCTAGGACTCAAAGAAACCTTAAAATTCATGTTTGTATTTACGGAGGGCAAACGAAACATCATTACCAATCGTAAACGGCCTAATCCAACAGGTATACAACGGTGATAGCAGGCCACTGCCATTCGGTCGGTCTGGATAGTGTAATGAACTGACAACGAACAATCCCTGATGCGCCCTAAAGCCTTGCCGACGACGTGGCTTTACCTTCGATCATCGTGCAAAATGACTCGGTTACCATGCATGTTCTAAATTGGTACAGTTGCCGAACCTCTGCAATGTTTCGAGTAAGATTTTCAATCACCCCTGGTGCTGGTCGAAAAGTAAACGAAGGCGCAAAAGCAAAACAAGCAAAACAGTGAACAGAAAATAATCATACGACGGCATTCGACATCAGCACGGCAGGCATAATGAC